TATATATATATATATATATATATAAAGAGGGGAAGACATAAATTTTAAGACATTCTTTATTTACTAACAATGTAAAAATATAGGATAAGACAAAATAAAGAAAATAAATTAATAATATATTATATTATATATCATACTTTTCTTTTATATTTAATATCATTAATTTATTTTAAAAAACAATAAATAAATTTTAATTGAGAAATAGAAATATCACATATCAATTAATTCATTATTGTTAATTAATTAATTAATTTATAATAATTTTTGTCTTATATAATTTAATTATGTAATTTTTTTATATCTATATAAATTTAAAAAAGAAAGCCCGTGTAAAAATGAAACTCTGAACTGTTGTCCATCTTGACTTGACTGTGCTCAAACCGCCATTGTCCCTAATCACATATAGAATCCTCATCGTTAATCTACCATGTTTCACACTTTGGAGAATTACATTCTAATACTCTAGTGCATTCAAGTTCAACTCTCTCTCCATTTCAGTTTTTTTTTATAATTATTTTAAATCGCCTCTTTTTATACTCGATTATTATCTCATAGGTTCTTTATTAATTGTTATACGTAACTCTATTTTAACTAGAGATTAAGTTCTTTCCTAGTTGCTTAAGATTTTTCTAAGGCGCTGGCCAAAATGAATCTCTGCACAAGTCTCAATTAAGTGATGACAATACAAATCTTTCTTCTAGATGCCGTGTTTTAATGCCCCAAATGAGTGGTCCATAGGCCAAAAGTATAGCCAGACTATGTTTTCCATTGAGGGTGAATTAATTGTCTAGAAATAGTTTTTTATGGGTTGTTTGACATGTGCCTTAACATTTGTTAGCATTATAGGGATTGATTTACATATTTCCCTTCTATCATATTTCTTGAGGTCTCTCTAATCTCAAATCAGAGTCATTGTACTATATATATAATGATGCCTTGAGACTTTAAATTGCGGGTAGGTGGCTAGTATTTGTCTTAGTTTGTGAACCACCATTTGGTGATTTTTTTTAATGCTGCTACGGCTATCCTAAAACCTATTAGGCAAGCTTGTCAACTTTAGAAAAGGATTTTAATTACCTTGCAAAATAAGTTTCCATATAAAGTTTTCAAGTTAGACCCAAGCTTTAGAAAAGGTAAGATTAGCCATTTAAAAGAGGTTATATAAATCCACGAGTCAAA